TTTTGAAAAATCCTTTCTTAGTGAGCACCTAGAAGCCAAGAGGAACATATGTGCCAAATTTCAAGTTTGTAGGCTTTACGGTTCTGGAGATTTTGTGATGATGCGTGAGTGGCATTTCACTTATATATATATAGATTAAAAGAAATACGGGACCTCCATCTCCAGGATCCAATCAATCAAGGCCAATCAAGTTGCTTCTTGAGGTGAAGACAAAGGTCTCTTTCCTGGTTCCATGTTTGGAAGCTGAGTCTTATTTCACTGCTGGTATCAAGAACGTTTAGTAAGTTTAGGGCATCCAAAGTACTCTGCCACACCAACACCACTTTACCACTTGCTGTTCCTCAGCTTTTACTACATGGTTTTCGTGCCTCTGCCATACAGAAGGGTCTATCTCTAAGTGCCATATGTTGGAGATTTCCTAAGATTATGCCTCCACAAGTAGGAGACACATGAGAATGACTTTTTGCTGGCTTCAACTGGATACAGAATGCTGAGTTATCTTCAGCAGGAATTTTCTTGTGTTCTGAAGACATGACAGAAGCAGTGCTTCTCAATCTTGGCAACTTTTGTGTGGACCTCAACTCCCAGAATTTTCCAGCCAGCATGGGGAACCCAAAGCCACCTGGGAGTTGAAGTCCACACATATTAATGTTGCCAAGGTTGAGAAGCACTGCTATAGAGGAATAGCTTCCAGCACTGAGATAGTCATTATTAACCGGTCCAAGTTCTATTTTGTCCCTTCTATCTGTCGTTTAAGTTAGATACAGATAATGAGTTGGAAGGGACCTTGTAGGTCATCTAATCCAACCCCCCCAACCAAGCGGGAGACCCTACACCATTTCTGACAAATGGCAGTCCAATCTCTTCTTGAAAGTCTCAACTGATGGCGCTCCCACAACTTCCGAGGGCAAGCTGTTCCATTGCTTGATTGTTCTCACTGTCAGAAAGTTTCTCCTTGTTTCCAGATTAAATCTCTCCTTGTTCAGTTTCCATCCATTATTCCTTGTCTGGCGTTCAGGTGCTTTAGAAAACAGGTTGACCCCCCCTTCATCTCTGTGGCAGCCCCTCAAATATTGGAAGACCACTATCATGTGTCCCCTGGTCCTTCTCTTTACTAGACTAGCCAAGCCCAGTTCCTGCAACCGTTCGTTGTATGTTTTAGCCTCCAGTCCCCTAATCATACTGGTTGCTCTTCTCTGTACTGTTTCTAGAGTCTCAACATCTTTTTTATAATGTGGTGACCAAAACTGGATGCAGTACTCTAGGTGTGGTCTTACTAAGGCTTTATAGAGTGGTATTAGTACCTCCCTTGATCTTGATTGTATCCCTCTGTTAATACAATTGCATTAACGTTTTTGGTTGCTGCTGCACACTGCTGGCTCATATTTAGTTGGTTGTCCACTAAGACTCCAAGATCCCTCTCACGGTTACTGCTATTGAGCCTGGTTTCACCCAGTCTTTATGGGTCCTTTGGGTTTTTCTTGCCTAGGTGTAGGACTTTACTTTTCTCTATATTGAATTTCATTTTATTAGATATGGCCCAGTGTTCTAGTCTGTCAAGATCCGTCTGGATCTTGAGCCTATCTTCTTGGGTGTTAGCTATTCCTGCCAGCTTAGTATCATCTGCAAATTTGGTAAGTTCCCCTTCTATTCCCTCATCTAAGTCGTTAATGAAGATATTGAAGAATACTGGGCCTAAGACGGAACCTTGTGGCACCCCACTGCTTACTTCCCTCCATGTAGACTTAGACCCAGTAAGGACTACTCATTGAGTACGGTTTGCCAGCCAGTTGCGAATCCATCTAGTGGTGGTGCTATCTATTCCACTTTTTTCTAGCTTACTAAGAAGTAGACTGTGGTCTACTTTATTGAATGCTTTGCTGAAATCTAAATATATTATGTCCACAGTATTTTGCTGGTCTACTAATTAAGTCACTGTGTTGAAGAATTCTTCCTAAGTAGAATCATGTGAGATCTTGGAAATAAGACGAATGACACCCTTTTTCCCTGATTAAAATATAGCTTGCAGTTTCTTTCTTTCTTTTTTAAAATCCTAAACAGCTCTGAGTCACTACCAGCACAGCAAAATCACAACTATTTATAGTCGAGCATTCTTTCACAAACATTTTCCTGTCTGAAAGTGAGCACATCTCTATCCAAGTGTAAAGGTGAATGAAGTTGGGTCATTCAAATGTTTACTTTGATCGAGTCAATGGGGGGGAAAAAGGAAGGTTTCAGTGGTGGAAAAAGTAAGGTTTACATTTAGGCAAGAAAAACCAAATGCAAGTTATAGTATAAGTAGTACCTGGCTCAACAGTGGTAACTGTGAGAAGGATCTAGGAATCCTAGTGGACAATCACTTAAATATGTGTCCTGCAGCTGCCAAAAAACCCAACACAGTTCTATACTGCATTAACAGAAGGATAAGTATCAGGATCGTGTGAAGTGTTAATACCATTTTATAATGCCTTGGTAAGGCCACACTTGGAATACTGCATCCAATTTTGGTCTCCACAATGTAAAAAAAAAGATGTTGAGACTCTAGAAACAGCGTAGAGAAGAGCGACCAGGATGATTAGGGGACTGGAGGCTAAAACATATGAAGAACGGTTGCTGGAAAAGGGGATGTCCAGTCTGATGAAAAGAAGGACTAGTGGTGATGTGATAGTGTTATTCTGATATCTCAGAGGCTGCCACAAAAAAAGAGGGAGTCGAGCTATTCTGGAAAGCACCTGAAGGCAGGACAAGTAGAAATGGATGGGAACTAATCAAGGAGAGAAGCAACGTAGAATTAATGAGAAAAGCGTTGGGAGAGGACAAAAACAATAAATTTAGCAACTATTGATTTAAATGATTTGCCAAAAAAGGACTGTGTTGCCTTAAAATTGGCCATTTATAAAATTAACTGGTTTGTTATTTGCATATATCAATCATTGTCTTTCACAGTTACAAACTAGGAGGGGGCGTTGGAGAGAGAAGGGGGGGGGGGGGGGAGAGAGAGAGAGAGAGAGAGGGAGGGAGGGAGAGAGGGAGAAAAGCTTTGTCTAGATGCTGAGGAGTTAAATATGTACCCTTAAAAAAAACACTGTTGTTTTTCATAGCTTAGAGCAGTGTTTTTCAACCTTGGCAACTCTAAAATGTGCGGACTTCAACTCCCAGAAATCCCCAGCCAGCATGTAAACTACACTCAGGAAAATCTTTTACAGCCTCTGGAAGCGTTTTAACACATTTTTAAGTTGAGAAATACTGCTTTAAAGTCTGCATTTCTTATTTTGTTGAAAAAGACCTGCTTCACCAGCACAAGCAACTTGGCTACCTGATTTCACCTCTATGGCTATGCTTCTCTCTCTCTCTGGTTGAGTGCAAACTAAGTTCTCTCACATCTAAGCCAACATGTAAAGGTGAGGATGAAGAGAGAAGCATAACCACAATGGGTGAAATGCATAACATAAGGTGTTTCTCAACCTTATCAGCTTCAGGAGATATCAACTTCCAGAATTTCCTGGCCAGGATGCTGGGAGATGATGCCCACACATCTTAAAGTTGCAAAGGTTGAGAAATGTTGGCTTAGAATATCAACATTCTCACCTCAAACAGGTGATTTCTCCTTGCTCTCTGGAAAATTTAAGAAGTGATACATTTTGAGTCCTTCTAACTTTGATACAAGAGGCTATTGCGTCATGTTGTGTATTAGTGGGGTGATCTACAAGGCTTACATGTTCTCTACTGAGCATAGCGATAACCTAATTGCATATTGTGCTCTAGAGCAGTGGTCCCCAACCTTTTTTGTACCAGGGACCAGTTTCACGATTATTCATTCTTTGCGGCCCGGTACAAAATGATCCACGGACCGGTACCGGCATCAGCACGCACGACCAAGGCAAGGCGAGCCGAGCGACCGGCCAGCCAGCCGTCCCCCACTTCTCCCCGCCACCTTCAACTCCTCCTTTGTACCTTCTTGCGGTCGATGGGCTTTTCGGGCTCTTTCTTAATCTCCTCCTGAGTAACGCGAGACTCCACCGCCATCGGGACGGCTCTTCAATCGAAGCCGCCCCCCCCTTCAAGGAAACTAAGGTGCGAGGATTCCTTCAGCACCCAAATGCCGCTTTCCAACCGACGACCGACAAGCTCACCCGGAAGCACTTTCTCAAGCGCCGTCGAAACAAGATGGCGGCGCCCAAGCAAAGTAAGCCCTACTTTCATTCTTTGCCGGTCCGGGGCCCGGTGGTTGGGGACCCCTGTTCTAGAGGCAAAAAATAAATAAATCTCCAATTCAATTCACTGGGAATCTTTGGCTGAATTATCTCCAATGGAAAAACAAATGGAAATAAGGGCAAGAATACAGGTAGCCCTCAACTTATAAGAGTTAGTTTAGTGACCGTTTGAAGTTAGAATGGAACTGGAAGAAGTGACTTATGACCGTTTTTCATACTTACAACTGTGGCAGCATTCCCATGGTCACACGATCAAAATTCAGAGGCTTGGCAACTGACTCATATTTATGACAGTTCCAGGGTCCCGGAGTTACCTTTTGCCACCTTCTGACTAGCAAAAAAGTCAATGGGGAAGCCAGATTCACTTAATAACTATGTGATTGACTTAACAACTGCAGTGATTCACTTAAGATCGGTGGCAAGAAAAGTCGTAAAATGGGACTTAACAAATGTCTCACTTAAGCAATAGAAATGTTGGGCTCAATCGTGGTTGTAAGTCAAGGACTACCTGCACTGCTTTTGAAGCCTTGGAAATCTTCAGTCCAAATGCAGAATATTGTGTTGTAGGACCAACAACTTCACTTACTGCCTTTCATACAATATATGGGTACTCATTTTTCCAACCGGCTATTTTTTTCTTGGTAGGAAAAAAAAATCAAGCTATTCTATTCTGGCAACTGAGCTGCATGATTCACAATTCAATAAACAGATAACAGATAACCAGAATTGGAAGGGACCATGTAGGTCATCTAGTCCAACCCCCTGCCCAAGCAGGAGACCCTGCACCATTTCTGACAGATGGGAGCCCAATCTCTTCTTGAAAGTCTCAGGTGATGGCACTCCCACAACTTCCGAGGGCAAACTGTTCCATTGGTTGATTGTTCTCACTGTCAGAAAGTTTCTCCTTATTTCCAGGTTAAATCTCTTCTTGTTCAGCTTCCATCCCTTATTCCTTGTCTGGCCTACAGGCGCTTTAGAAAATAGCCTGACCCCCGCCCCCCTTCATCTCTGTGGCAGCCCCTCAAATATTGGAAGACTGCTATCATGTCTCCCCTGGTCCTTCTCTTCACTAGACCAGTTCCTGCAACCGTTCTTCGTATGTTTTAGTCTCCTAATCATCCTGGTTGCTCTTCTCTGTACTTTTTCTAGAGTCTCAACATCTTTTTTATAAACACTTTGACTGCATCAATGAATGATGTTTCAAGTGGTTGAGCATCAAGCAGAAATCCAGATGTTTCTCCTTTGGCTAACCCTGCATCTCCCCACTGAATCCTGTCTTCACTTTTTGTTCATCCCATAGTTGTTAAACTCTGTTTTGGACACAAACTGAACCTCCTTTCCCTGGCCCCTCTCCCCCCAATCTCTGGCAAGCCTTCTGCACAACCCTTGTAACAGTCGATCGCAGCTGTTTGTCCACAAGCTTGGCTGCCAATGGAAACCAAGAAATCTGATCATCTCTCTCTAGCTGTTTCTGAACTTCTCCATCAAAGGGAAGAGGGAAGAGCCAAGCACCGGGAAATCTATTACTGTAAAAGCAGAGAAAAAGGGACTAGGAAATAGCACTGGCTATTGAGTCAGACCTGGTAGATATGATTCATCCGGACTGGAAACCGAATGCAGCCACACACAGTCCAAAGTGTCTCCAGCTTGCCAATAGCCACATAGTCTATTCCTCTGCAGATAATAACCAGAAATCAAAATCTGCATAGCTAGAAGAAAATACACACACAAAAAAACCTGGTTTCTTGTTTGGACAGTATCAAAGCTGAGGCTAAACAACGCTGCTGCTCTTTTAGTCTTTTCCATAGTGCAGTGGTGGGATTCAAATGTTTTTACTACTGGTTCTGTGGGCGTGGCTTGGTGGGCGTGGCTTGGTGGGCATGGCGTGGCAGGGGAAGGATACTGAAAAATCTCCATTTCCCCCCCCCCCATTAACCTGCTTTCCAGCTCCGTTCTCCTGTGCAGGGCACCAAAGAAGACCCATCCGATCAGCTGGGACTCAGGAGGCAGAGGATAGATGGGAGTGGGGCCAGTCAGAGGTGGGATTTGCAGGTTCTCCGAACTACTCAAAATTTCTGCTACC